GTTCGAGAGCAGCAAGTAGATGCTGAGCCGAGTGAACAAGTCGAAGAAGTTCAACCTGTTTCACTGCCGGTTATGACTCAACCTTTGACGAGTGAACCTCGGAGATCAGGCAGGATTCGCCAAGAACCAACGAGATATAGATTTCTCGTGACTGGGAATGAGGAACTCATGTTATTAGAACATGAAGAGCCCACCACATACCCAGAGGCAATGGTGAATCCGGACTCCGAAAAATGGCGCGAGGCTATGAAGTCCGAGATGCAATCATGTCAGACAACCAAGTATGGACTCTGGTTGATGCATCTGAAGGGATAAAACCCATCGGGGCTAGAATTTACCTCATTGATGATGACGTGGATTTCCACGTAGACAGATTAGAAATCAAAGTCAAACTACCCATTACAAAAGGATTCATCCGTGGTAAAAGAAAGAGTAATGACAAAGATTTCGGAAATAATATTTTTTGTTTTCTCATACGTATAATGCAATTACATACTATAATCTATGTGTGTTTTTTTTTGTTAACTCAAAAGTTGGTCCGACTATATTTCTCAAGACCCGGAGACCGTTTGTGTACCACAATTAAATTGCGATAAGAACAAACCCCTATTCTATGTGTTAGTGGTTGAAGATCGATTAATCTATTTGAAGTAACAAATCGTTGAAAATTGATTAATCAATTTGAAGCAACAAACCATCATTACCGACAATATGAAATTAACAGAATTAAAAATAAAATATTTATATTCCACATAATAATCATTAACATATAAAATATCTAGGATTAGGTAAACAATAATTTAGTTAATTATATTTGGGAAGGAAAATAAGTACAAAATTTGGTACTTATTTTATATTTTCCAAAATGCATATAAAACTTGACCGGTGAATCGACCATCGATTTTTCAATGTGTCTCAAAACGATTTTTACATATAATTGTCTTACATCTTATTCAATTATTACAAAAATTTATAATATAAAAATAAATTAAAATGTAAACATTACATAATATTTTAATAATATTTTCTAATATTTTTGTGTAATTCTTTAAATCTACATTGGATATTTATTTAAGATTTCACAGAAACTGTTTAATAAGTAAAAAATCGGTTCATTTTAATAAAAATGTTTATTAGAATCTTCTTCTGGAAAATATTCGTTTGTAGTTATCAATAAAATGAACCAATAATACCAAATATAACTGATTTGTTACATGCACCAAGTCACCTATATCGTATGGTAAAAAAATCCGATTGTTTGGGGTGTGAACAGATTCTATACTTATAAATCCCAAACATTTGGTATTTCTATTATCTATTTAGTATGAATGGATCGAATTGACTATTATAAATCCACAAACATGCACCAATTTTAAAATTGAATATTTAGTAAATTATGGTATATTTATGAACATTTCCAATTTTCTAATATTCTAGTATATTATGTAACTTGTGAGTATTCATACTTTAGTTATTTTTTATAATCCTTGCACGTATGGAAAAATACCAAACAATCCTTGAATTTGTATTATGTTTTCTTATATATTTATTTCTATGCTTATAAATACCAAACAATTGGAAACGAGAGTTATACCAACAATCTCAAATTAAGCTTTTGATCTCTGTCTTTCTTAATGGCATCTCATGTCTTCATTGTTGATCGGAGGATCAATTTGCTGCTGTTTCCGATAATCACGGTGTTGATAATCACTACTTCCTCTGCACAGATAGATATTTCAAAACTGCAGGAGGTTGAGATACAAAGACACTTGGAACTAATCAACAAACCCGCTGTTAAATCTATCAAGGTTAGTAATCTCAATGCATATATAAACTATAAGATTTCTTAAATGTTTTTTTATACATTTTTTGTATAATTGAGTCACGAGATGAAAACCGTTCATATTTTTTTTTAATCTTAAATTATTATTTTACTTTTAAACAGAGTCCAGATGGAGATATAATAGATTGTGTTCATATCACCAATCAACCCGCTTTCGACCATCCTTTATTAAAGAACCACACTATTCAGGTATGTCTTATCTGTAGAAGTTTTTTGGCATGTCTCCGTTTAAATATTTTATGTTGTTGGCTTATATTTTCACTTCTAAAGCATTGATTTGCTATTTCTTCTCAGAATATTTTCTTATGTCGTTATAATCTGAACAATGTCAAATAGTTGAGACCAAGTTTTCTCCAAGAAGATCCTTCATCAAAAACCGATGGCATAGCTCAAGTATGGCATAGGAACGGAGAATGCCCAGAGAACACCATTCCGATAAGAAGAACAACAAGAGAAGATCTCTTACGTTGGGGTTCCATAAAAAATTACGGGAAAAAATATTCAAATTATAGCATCCCTGGATCTAGATTTCGCCCAACTCAAAACATATGGGCAAAACGCGAGGTATATTGTTGAGGTTAAAGTTGATTTTGATTAAGTTTTAATGTCATTCAAATTAATCTTAGGGTAAGTTTGATTTTGGATCATTGATCCAAAATAAACTGGACCAAATCCAAAAATAATTTCTGACCTAATTTTTTTTTAAAAATATTATAAGAAAAAAATATCTAGATATTTATAACGACATATTAAGATATTATAATAGAAAATCTAGATATTAAAATATTTTACTTAGGACATTTTTATGAATAGTTGTTATGAAATGAGTATAAATAGTCTTTTTTTCCTTCATTTGTAATACTAAGCAAAATCAATATAAAAAAAAATTTAAGTATGAGTGCCTTCCAAAGGTTCTTCTGACGCCATTCGTAGAGTTTCCTTCATTAGTATTTCATTTGCAATTTCACAAATTTTCAATCCTCATATATATGTTTGTTTTTAATTAATTTTGACTCTTTTTTTCATTAGCATGCCACGTTGGTAGTGGAGAATGAATATTACCAAGGAAGCGAGGCTTGGATCACTGTGTGGAAACCATATGTTGAACAGTATAATGAACTAAGTACGGGCCAGATGTGGATTTCTAGCAAAGGTTCTAATCAGCAGGGAGTTAATGTGATGGAAGCGGGTTGGCAGGTTCTCGATCGTTCATAGGCTTTGTTTCATATTTCTGTCATGATTCAAAAAAAAAAATAACATGTGATGATCGATCTTTCTTCCTGCATTTTGTTCATAGGTAAATCCAATATTGTACGGCGATGGAAACCCGAGACTCTTTGTTTATTGGACTGTAAGTTTCATCAAATATTTTCTCGGTCCTTTTCCCTATTCATATATGGCCTAGCTATTAAGCCACACATATCCTTATGTACCACGATCACATTAATGAAAAACTCAACAAAATAGGGTGACGGGTACGAGAAAACAGGCTGCTACGACCTCAAATGTCAGGGCTTTGTCCAAATCAGCAGCAAGACCGCCGTTGGTGCGGCCTTCAACCGCTATTCAACAATTAGTGGTCCGGAATATAAATGCATCTTTCTTATAAGGAAGGTATAACAAATTAAAAAGATGGAGAAATGCAAACTAATTCATGTTGCACATCATATATTGATAAACTAACTGCTTGATGTATGGTAGGATCCCATAAGCGGAAATTGGTGGCTCCTAACCAATAATCGCCAAGTCGGTTATTGGCCGAATTCTCTCTTTCCATTTCTAAAGGACTTGGCATCAAAAGCGGTATGGGGAGGAGAGATCAATAATCTAAGGAAGAATGGGCGACACACTTCCACTTGCATGGGAAGTGGCCGCTTCGCGGAGGATGGTCGTGGGAAGGCGGCTTTAATAAGCCGCATTACCGTACTCCAGCGGAACCTGAAGAAGGAGCCCGAAAAAGGCTTTCCCTTCGTCACTGACAAGGGATGTTACAATTTACATTATAACCGTCTTGACCCTAAGTTGGGATCACACCTCTTCTTCGGTGGAATTGGTCAAAACTCTAATTGCCTTTGAATGAACTTCTTTCTATGATGTATCCAGAAATAAATTGAATAATTCAATATTTTCTCTTTAGAGCTATATAAACTTATATGTATATATGTATGTATATAACACAAAATTAGATGATTCAACTGGTAAAGAAAGAAGCGAAACTTACTTCTAATACATGTTTGAATGTCCATTTAGAGAGCGAGCGTCATTCACATGCACTTCTCCTATCTTTTTAAAGATTCAGTTGCCACAAAAGTTGTGACATCCGTAACCTGTATTCCGCTTAGAGGTTGTGCCACCTAGACATGTAAAATCACAATTGAAAAATTCCGAAATATAAAATCGCAAAATATTAAAATCATTTATTTTAAATATAATTCAAAGAAAGATATTATAAAATATATTAGTACGTTTGCACACGTATGCAAAGATGCCAATAAATAATACGCGTAGTGCGAAAACTATAATACAAAAGTCTAAAATCACCACTCTTGATTTTCAAAAGCGAAATGTGTTAAAGATAATTAATTATACATGATCTAGAAAGTGAATTGTCACCAGGTCTCGCGTCTACCTCAACCACTACTCTTGCTCATTATCTGAAATGTTTCATAACAACGTCCCAAGCTACGTGCTTAGGAATGAATTCGGGTGTAATCCGAGATTTCTATTTTTATTGAAAATGGCCAAACAATAACATCAATATTATATATACATGCGAGGTGATATATCAATCAAATCAATCATCATTGAATCAATCAACAATCTCAAACAAAATATGTCAATCATCTCTATGTGTATCTCACACATAGGTAAATACAATAACTCGTTCATGCCCGTGTCGAACACGAGGAGCAACAGTCCACGCAAAATCGTTTGCGAGGTCCTCAAGGGATCTTCACATTCCTCATCGGCCATCGATATCACAGCTCTGGGTACCGGTCCATGGCAAATGGAGCATTAGCGCGATTGCCAAAGAACTGTACTTCCTCGTCAAGCATTCGGGTGATACACGCAAACCTGAATGCGTAAGTCGCACGACGCCAAAGCCATTTATCAAGGAACGATGGCGCAATCGTAGATCGTCACAATCACAATCGAACCGAGTTCCGCCAGAACGTTGCGTAGCATAGTGAGATGTGCGATATCGAAATACGAGTGATCGTTGTGTGATTGTATGCAGGTAGAATTTGCATGGCGTTAAACGGTAGCTCGGTAGGGACCGGATACCGTGATACGTATGGTTGTACTATGGGGATGTTGCACGTTGTGTGCCATGTGTGTAGCTTGCTCGTGCGTGCGAGTTAAGCATGATTGTGTTTGTGGATGGTTGTGGAACCATCACCGTCATGGACTTGACGGGCGTTTGAGACGCGTTTTAGTTGTGTGCGACACGACGGCCAACGTCATGGATTTGACGGGCGTGGACTCGCACCTAGTCATGGACTTGACTAGGGTATATGGCTGGACCCTATGGTGGACTCCATATGGGTATGATTGTATTTCCCGTTGTGTCATGGACTTAACATCGGTAGTCACGAGAGTGACAGGCGTAGGAGACGCGCACGATCGCATGCGATGCGATGGCCAACGTCACGCGAGTGACGGGCGTGGATTCGCCCCTGGTCATGGACTTGACATAGGTATACGGCTAAGCCCTATGGTGGACTCCATACGGGCGTGATTGTGATTGTTATTTACGTGCTTACTGTGTTTTACTTATTGCATGTGTTTTTATGGAAATGTCGACTGTACCGTTCTCGTTGGGAACGGGATTTCCGGGTTCAACCCGGGCTACTCACTAAGCAGTTGTGCTTAGCCCTCGTGGTTTACATTTTTCAGATCACGAGGATTACGTCTAGAGCATCCGGCAGACGACGACCTGAGAGAGGCAGCATCATGTACGGGATTAACATTTTGGGTTACGAGACTTGTATTTCCCGCATTTTGTACGGTTAAATTATAACTATTCGGACATGTGTTGTTTTGCGATACTGATCGCCTGTTGTATTTTCCGCTGCTTACTCTGGTTTATTTAAAAATGTTTTTTGGATTTCGTACTTTTGCTTCCGTATTATTATTATTTTATTACTATTGTCCATGTGGCACAGCCCTATACTGTACACGGGTTACGGGTGTCACAACTTTTGGTATCAGAGCCACGTTCTTTCCTTGGGAAGGAATCGTGCTCATTACCCAACGGTTTTCTACGAAAATATTTTCAAACCATGTCCGAAGAAAATCCTCACATGTCGAGGTCCGTACATTGATGATGCTAGCTGGAGTCGTCGAAGGCCTAGTGAATGTAACGTGACATATTTAGAATGTCACCATTATATGCTTAAATAGAGATCAGCGATTTCTACAATTAAGCCCGATGCCTGAACTATGGGATTGGAATTAGGAAACTAATACCGAAATCCCTAAGAGGCTCTATAGCAGTACCTAAAGGAACAAACGCCAACCCACCCAAGTGGGCGTTTATGACAAAACGGGAGGAGGCACTTACCTCGCTCACCATCTATATCGGCGTTAGCAGAGGACCCCCCTTAAGTGCAAACCAAAAGTCCGAAAAGAAGGTGATCAGGAGGGACAACAGAGCGTTCCTTGTAGTTACCACGATTACCGAGGAACCAGAGCATAGATTGGAAGACAAACTGGTTGTCCAGGAATGTTTCAATGTTTTTTCCCGATGACTTGTCGGGTTTACAGCCAAGGAGAGAAATGGATTTTACTATGGGACGTGTTGGTGAAGCAGGGTTTCATTCGCCCTAGCGTTTCACCGCTGGGAGCACGAGTACTCTTCGTGAAGAAGAAGGACGGGAGTATGCGTTTGTGCATTGATTACCGGGGGTTCAACCAGGTAACCATCAAGAATCGATACCCGTTACCGAGGATTGATGAGTTACTGGACCAGCTACAGGGAGCCCAGTGGTTCTCGAAGGTAGATTTACGATCCGGATATCATCAGATTCGGGTCAAAGAGGATGACGTGTAGAAGACGGCGTTCCGGACGAGATATGGACACTTCGAGTTCGTGGTTATGTCTTTCGGGCTCACGAACGCGCCTGCGGTTTTCATGCAGCTTATGAACCGCGTGTTCATGGACTATCTAGATGAGTTTGTCATCATCTTCATCGATGACCTTCTCATCTACTCACCGGATCTACAGACGCATGAGGAGCATCTGCGGAAGATATTGTGGAGGCTGAGACAGAATCGGTTGTACGCTAAGTTCAGCAAGTGCAGCTTTTGGCTACAGGAGATTGGGTTCCTGGGACATGTGGTATCAGCCCAGGGTATTCAGGTAGATCCAGCCAAGATCGAGGCCGTCATTGAGTGGCAGTCTCCGACTTCTGCGACGGAAGTCAGGAGTTTTATGGGACTAGCTGGCTATTATCGGCGATTCGTTGAGGGGTTCGCCAAGATAGCTCGGCCTTTGACGAAGCTGACG